TCAATTATGCTTTTTAATAGTGTGTGAAAATGCTTAAGGATAGAAGGCTGTGCACATGTTATTTCAGGTTACTAAAAGTTTGGTCAGGTAATGGGTGTGTTAACCACACAAATATAACTATTGGTGCTTGAAATCATATTCAATATTTGGTTTACTGTTTGCTCGTTCCACAAATTAATGGAATAAAAATGCTAGGGGGCTTATTCTTTCATCTAATGAAGGATATGGATCATTTTTTCCCTCCCTTTTCTTCTAAGTGATTGTGAATTTTTATTTGTAACTCAATCTATTTTTATATGCTTTAGGACTTGATTGCTGGCTTTGACCAAGAAGCAGCCGCTGTAGCTATGGCACGCCTAGTGTCTTTCAAAATGGAAAATGAGGTAACTATGAAATCTTTGATGGCTTTTGAATATTTTTGGATATGAAATAGTGAGACCCAAAGTTTGTGCAAGCATTCTTTTTACCATCTATGTTGGTATCTGAATATATTGGATTTGCTCTCACTCTAGTAACTGAGGATTTCTTTTACAAGTTTTAGGAGTGTGTAATGATTTATGCGAGTGTGTAATGATTTATGCTGAGAATTTCTCATAGTTTTTTCTTCTAGGATCCCCTTAGCATCAGAAATTTTAAGCTCTCTGTTGTACAGAAAGACACGCACCACTACATTTAGAAACAAACAGTGATTGATCAAGTCTATTGAGTGGCTTATGAAACACTAAAATATTAGAATAAGAACCACTCTTTATTTGTTTTTGTAAGTACCACTTATTTGATGGTTTGTGAAGATAAGAATGAGTTAATTATGCCACTTCCCAGTTTTAGGGAACCTTCAACTGTTTTTTTTTTTCATGAAGAAGTTATTTTAGCTTCTTCCCTTCTGTTGCTAGCATAATAGAGTGAAACTTTCTTGCTGATTAGTTTCAAAGGGAAAAATATTTTCATGAAAGACTACGTCCCTAGAAACAGATAATGTTTGATTTTCAAGATAAAAAAAGTGTTTGATTTTCTGGATCAAACACTTTTCCATCTTTTATGAGGATGTGGATAAAATAGGAAAATGCATTTTCATGCTTGGGGGTCAAATTATGAGTGATTGTATGCAAGAGTGCTGACATATAAGAGACTTCCAAAAACTTGTGTGAATATGAAGGTTTTGCATGGAAACGAGCTCTTATGGACCATGTCCAGATAACAAGGGTGCGTGCACGATTAATAATATAAATTGCTGTAACTGCACGCTCCCTCCCTCCCAAAAGGAAGAGGTAAATTGGCTTGAAATCTTAAAGGCATGAGCAACATTTAAAATATGTCAGATGCTTTCACTCCACCACACCATTTTGTTGTGGAGTGTCAACACAGTTTTGAAATTACCTTCCATCTTTGAAAATCAGGTTTTCTTTTTTCATGAAATTGTTTCAGCTTTTGTTTTGTTGCTAGCATATTTTAAGGGTTGATAAAAACAGTTGACTGGAAGATACTGATACATGCCAAAGTTATGACAGGTGGAAAAAGAGTCAATTTGTTATATAGGCTTGCCTTATTAAAAGAGTAATATGTATTTGAAATTTTAACCATTCTGCCATTGCATTATTTGATGATACATGGCAAGCAGGCTGAGTTTGATCCCATAAGATGGCTAGACAAAGCTTTGATACATATATGTGCTCGATTTGGAGACTATCAGAAGGATAGTCCATCTTCTTTCAGCCTATCTTCTCGGCTTTCAATATTTCCTCAATTTATGTTTCATTTACGACGTTCTCAGTTTGTCCAGGTAATATTATGAATTCAAGGTTTATCTGCTAAGCACTTGCCCTTAAAAAATAAACCAGTTAGGTCCATTGAAATCCTCATATTCTCCAGTTAATATTATTCTACAGGTCTTCAACAACAGCCCAGACGAGACAGCATACTTCAGAGTGATATTGAATCGTGAAAATGTTGCCAATTCAGCTGTGATGATACAGCCTTCATTGATATCTTATTCGTTTCATTCAGGACCAGAACCAGCACTTCTTGACGTGGCTGCCATTGCAGCTGATAGAATTCTGCTTCTGGACTCTTATTTCACTGTTGTCATTTTTCATGGGGCAACTATTGCTCAATGGCGGAAAGCTGGGTATCATAATCAACCTGAACATCAGGTACTTTGTTAAGATAGCATATAAGCCAAATGAAAAAACATGTCTTTTAGTTTAAGTCCAATGTTAGCCCCCTCCATTTTCCTGTAACTGAAATATAATCAAGGTCATTCCTAACAGTGAGAGAACCTAAATCCTTGATGTAATTAACATAATGAACTATGTTTGTGAACTTCAGAAAATGAACTTTACTCCCATGACATCAGCATGATGATCACTATCTTGACTAGATCACTGTGATTAGTAAACACTTGCTTTGGTCTCTCAAAGTTTATGAAGTGACATGTAAATGTTTAGTAGCCATTTCCTATGCTGGTTTTTTTTCTTTTTTTAAAAAATTGCAGTTCTACCTCTTCATATCACATTTTGTTCTGCAATAATTAGAAGCACTAAAATACCTTATGGTTGCTCATCAAAATCAGCTTTGTTTTCTAACTACTGATAGGATAAAGCTTAGTTTGTCAGTCTTATCTCTAATGTTAGAGGTGCAAAGAAGCACCGTCAAGCTATAAAAATTGTCCTGGATGACAAACCACCTTACCATACATTCCAACAAGTGCATCAGGTATTACCTGCAGATGGTCTCATGAGTCATCATGGGTATGTGTATGAAATTAGTTTTTCAACTGAATATATGTACGGAAAAATATCTTCAGAGTTTCATTTTGGGTTTGTGATTGCAAAATTTTGTCCTAATGGTTCCGGAATCTTGTGGCAGAGGTGACCCTAATGCTGCCATGGTCTCTCTTTTTTACGCTACCTTATGGTTGCTCATCAAAATCAGCTTTGTTTTCTAACTACTGATAGGATAAAGCTTAGTTTGTCAGTCTTATCTCTAATGTTAGAGGTGCAAAGAAGCACCGTCAAGCTATAAAAATTGTCCTGGATGACAAACCACCTTACCATACATTCCAACAAGTGCATCAGGTATTACCTGCAGATGGTCTCATGAGTCATCATGGGTATGTGTATGAAATTAGTTTTTCAACTGAATATATGTACGGAAAAATATCTTCAGAGTTTCATTTTGGGTTTGTGATTGCAAAATTTTGTCCTAATGGTTCCGGAATCTTGTGGCAGTGGTGACCCTAATGCTGCCATGGTCTCTCTTTTTTACGCCCCCTGTTATGTGAATTCATTTTTGTCCTTGCAGGCATTTGCCCAGCTGCTGCAAGCTCCTCATGACGATGCAGATGAAATAATCAAGGAAAGGTTTCCAGTTCCTCGCTTAGTCATTTGTGATCAGCATGGTTCACAGGTTAGCAACTTGTAAATGATCATTTCGTTATGAATAACATGAATTTGAATAAGCAACATGGGTTTGCTCATATCCTTTGTTCTACTACTACTTGTTTGTGACTGAAAGTTCAAGTTTTCGCCACAATGTACATTCTGTAGAACCACTGTTGTTAAACATGAACTATAGGGCACCATGCGGAAGGTTTCTTCGTGGCTAAACACTTAAGTTAGCAGGGCACTTCACCTGCTACCAGGGCACCCAGGGCTCTTTACCAAGAGCCTGGTCAATAGAGACAAAATGTCTAGGGGAAGAAGATGCTATCATCACAATCATCAGTCTCATTCTTGTTATTTATAAAGGATACAGCTTTTATGTAGTTGTTTTGTTAGGCCCACAACTGTTTCCTGAAGTGAGCTGAAAAGGGAGAAATATTTGACAAGTAGGGGGACTTGGTGTATTTTTTTTTTTTTTTTATGTGTTTGAGAGAGAGTTTAAGTCTTATGCTTTACGAGGATAATGTTTCTATCCTTCTAAGAATGGAATAGATGGTGGTAAATTCATTGTTTGAAACATTTTCTTATCATATACTACATAGTTTTATGTTATTGATAAATTAGATTTTTTGCCTGTTAGTAAACAGAGGTTTCAGACCCATGTAGCATCTGGGAAAACCTTTATCAACAACATTTGACTGACCATTCGAGCTAAATAGGCTAATTAAATTGTCATTGTTAAGATTGTTTCCCCCATTTTTCAAAAGGGCCTTCTTCTGTTGTGTCTTGCAAATAGTGTTATTACACATTTTACATATTAAAAGTACATGTATGCTTTTGCGTTTTTCACCTCGTGGCTATTCTCTAGGGGCTTTTAGTTCCTATGTGCTTCTTGTGCTTGTAGCCAATAATTTGTAGAATCTGAAAACTAACCCCTCAAAACAAACGCATCAGTTTATTACCAGTTCTCTGAACTGTTTTGAACAGAGTTTTTGCCTTTTATCCTTGACCCGAATAAAGACAAGCTTGCTGCATTATGCCATCCAAATTGAAACTATTTTCATCAATTGCCATGTGTCTTGGGATTAGATGCACGGTTATTTGGCCTGTTGTAATCAAATTAACTGGTACGTGTTTAATTTGGTACTGTGTGCCAGCTAACATATTATGTCATTTCAGGCCCGTTTTCTTCTGGCAAAATTGAACCCTTCTGCTACATACAACTCTGATTCTCTTCTTCCCGGTGGAGATGTCTTGTTTACAGATGATGTGAGCTTTGAAGTTTTCTTGGATCATCTTCAAAGACTAGCAGTTCAGTGACATCATCGTTACTAGCAATTTTGTAAAATTTATCATCAGAGTTCTGTACAGTTATTGTAGAATTTATTATAGGCTTGCTCGATTTCTGATTCAAGATTCTTGCTACACCTTCTATTTGCTAAAACAGCAAATTCCTGTTCAGTTTGACGAATAGACAATGCAACATTATAATAAATTTATTTAGTTGAAGGTGAAAGTTCCGTTCTCAAGCCTAGAGAGACTTGTATCTTCATCTACGTTCTCCCTAATCAGGTTGAAGGAGGTCTATCACACCGAATCAGTGGTTTCCTGAGAAATCCACCCATCCATTACAAGACCTAGAGTTTGAACACTTCTTTTGCCTTGGCTTCACTGTAACAATTTTTCGAGGACAGCGAAGGGCAAAAGAGAGCTAAATTGGGAACCCTTTACACACTAGCACTTGTCGATAGAGCACGCTTCTAATAGAAAATCAGATAATCCACCAGATCACGAGGAGTCAAATCAAGAAGGGAATTCTTATCAAACAGTTCATGAGCGATTTTTGTAGCTTGAAATTCATGCTCTGACAGAGGCATGGACGACCTGAAGGCTGGTGCTTTGTCGAGCTGTAGGTTCTGCATAGTTCGTGTCGCAAGGGTCCGGCGGATCAGCAGTGGTATTATAATAAAGTTATTAGTATACCCGTTCGTTGATCATAGATGCAATCGCCATTCTTCGAAATATACTTCAAAATCAAATTGATTTACACATAATCCTATGTTTAGCCATAGTTAGTGTCACCCCCACTTCCTCTCCCCAGGACAAACAGAAATCTCAGCTCCGAAAATTATGCCATGCCGCCAAGTCCAGCAATCCCTCGGTCCACTTGCGATCCCTACCTGTCATGTACATCATCACCATCCAAAGCCGCCCCCCGTCTACCTCCGTCCAACCAATCTGTGTACTCTAATCACTCCTCCAAGTCGTCCTATTGGCAAGCTTGGAGTAACATCGGCAAACTAGGCACCTTCATCCTCCCGGGAAGGAGGAGCACAGATTGGTCATCCAGGCACTCCAACTTAACCGAGGAGAGTCTCGATGCGCATAATAGAAGACAAGAAGCCATTAATATCCTCCATGACAAGAACGCAAAATGCAGTCCCTATTACAAGGGCCTCGTCGATTATTCCCTCATCATCAGCCGCGAGAGATATCCTTTGCCAATACCCCCAACCAGTCCCTGCCGTGAAAGCCACGCCACAGCCGTTACTTCCTCTTCTCTTTCAACTTTCATCTTTAAGATGCAAGAGTGGAGTTCTTGCTTTTCGGTTTCCTCTAAATCTAACAACGTCAAGGGCAAGGAGGACAATGCCCCGTCTGCAGTAATTGCTACCAGCACCGACAAAATTAAACCTACGAAGCCAACACCTGCAGCTCCCAGTTATTCTGCCTCCTCCTCCTCTTCTCAACCATCAGGCAGGACTACCTTAGAGAAGGAGACGCGTGACGTTAATGCCTCACGAGTTGTTACTGAAGAGAAGCCATTGAGGGAGAGAGTATCAGAATCAAAACCACCTGCTGCAGCACCATCTCTAACAAATGATGATAATCGTGAAATACTGGACTGTCCAAGTACTCATGAAGTGATGAATATTGACAGGAAGTTTACGTTGGCAAACAAGTACCAGCCCAAAGCCTTGAAAGATTTCATCTGCAATCGAGATCAAGCCATTAGGATGCAGGGTGTCGTGAGTTTTGTTCCTCTCTCTTTTATTTATTTCAAGTGGGAGTGATCGATTTAATTACTAACCAGAGGTGTTTTTGAGTCATTATAGCCAAATAATCCGCTTCTATATATATAAAATTTACAGATGAGCGACGTTGATTGCAACCATTTCATATTTGAAGGACCTGCAGGCGTTGGAAAGAGAACCATGATAAGGGCCATGCTTCAGGAAGCCTTTGGACAGGAGAGATTGCAGGTTTTTTTTTTTAAAAAAACCCTTCATAATTAATATTAATTAGTACACACCAATTGCCCTTTATTCATACACGCACTACTTTATTCTTTTTTCTTGATTCCTTGATTAATCTTAATTAAACCCACTTACGTGCTCGAACAAACAACTCATTGAATTCTTTATGTTTTTCTTCATGCTTTCACAGGAGAGGGAAGAATGCAAGTCATTCAACTTGAAGGTGGTTAATCTCTCAATTAATATACATATATCTGGTAATTAATAAATTAACTAAAAATAAAAAATGATGATTATGGCATGCAGGGGGAACAGATTGGTAGTATACAGGTAAGAGTGAAGGTCTCCTCCCAACACGTAGAACTCAATCTCTCTGATCTCAAAGGCTATGAAAAGCAAGTCATTGTTGAGCTCATCAAGGAAACACGTAATAATCATAATAAGAGGATTATTTCCAACAACCCTATTAATCCCAAGTCAAGACTTGATGACTGCCGAGGTATTTATCTATTTTTATTCCTATGATATATTCAATTAAAAACCAAGATCCCTACTTGTTTTAAAAATAAAAAATTAAAAAAAAATGACAATATATATTTGCAGCAATTATTTTGTACGAGGCAGACATGCTATCTACAGATGCCCTCCTCTATATTAAGTGGGTGCTGGAGAGGTATAAAGGATTCAGTATATTTTTCTTCTGCTGCAACGATGTCTCAAGGCTTCAACCAATTAGATCACTTTGCACTGTTGTCCAGCTTTTGCCACCTTCAAAAAGAGAGGTGACTATATGTTAGCACTGGAATATTGCTATATATACTAGCTAGCTGGCTACGATTAATCTCTTTCTTTCTTTTACAAACGTGTTAACTTTATAATTAGGTTGTTCAAGTTTTGGAATTCATAGCTGAACAAGAAGGCATAGAATTGCCACATCCATTGGCTGAAAAGATTGCTGACAAATCTAAGAACAACCTTCGTCAAGCCATCCGATCATTTGAAGCCTCCCGGCACGGAAGGTGAAGTAATATATAATTACTCTTAATGTTTAAAATCCTTGTCTTCATTAATGTAATTAAGTAATTTATACCCTGTTTTCCTGCTTGAAGTTATCCCTTCACGGAAGATCAAGAAATCCTGACTGGATGGGAAGATGATATTGCAAATATCGCCAAGGATATGGTTGAAGAGCAAAGCCCAAAACAGTACGTAATTCAGCTGGAAACTGTTGTCTTTGCCAACTAATTAAGGTATATTACAGATAAAGAAAATGATGGCTGCTAATTAATTTTCACAAGTTTTGCTTAACAACAGGCTGTATATCATACGTGGGAAGCTTCAAAATCTGATAGAGCATGATGTATCTCCTGATTTCTTTTTCGAGGTAGGTAGCTAGGAACTTTCCTATTTAATTTTTCAAAATTCAGTGTAGGTACGTAGTGATTTAGATCATAGGCTCTGATATATACTAACTAAACAGATCATCCCTGATACAGTCCCTTCTTGGAGAACTGAAGAAGCATATGGATGAGTCATTTCAGCTCCAACTCGACGGTCTACATAAGGACTACAATGTATGAGAATTAATCGCGCATATATATATTTATATGTGTGTGTGTGTGTATATATATATATATATATATATATATATATATATATATATATATATATATATATATATATATATATATATATATATATATATATATATATATATATATATATATATATATGTCTTAATAATCTTATAAGCTTATGTTATTACATTCTTAATTCTTGTTCTCATCATGCACCAGAGAAATGATGGAAACATGTTGGAGATCAGTGAGAACGAACTGATATTTCTGCGCAGTCGACATGAAGAGGCTGGTAAAAGGATTCATGACCCGGCAAGGAAAAATGCTGATCACCTTTTTGTGAGGATTGAAGGTAAAAAAGAAAAGAAAAGAAACTATCACTAGAAAAATTCAGTGTTATTTCTCAGTGCTATTATGCTATATATGTTAATTTGATCGGTTTTTTTTTTTTTCCTTACACAGAGTTCATTGCAAAATTTATGAGCTTCTACAAGATATCGGTCACCAATAACAAAAGCATTCAGCATGATGGTGGACCATGAAGGAGCTTCATTAATCTCTCTCTCTCTCTCTCACACACACACACACAGTGAGATATGATCCTTTCTTGCAGAAAATCAAATGTGGCAGTACTGTTTGTACAGATTGCGTTTTCTGTATATCACGCAGACGTATTGGACGATTTTCTTAAACAAGTACATGCATAATTATGTAATAAGAATGATGTCATGAGAAAGTTACTGCGCTTTAATTTGTTCTGCATATATATATATATAATAGCTGGGTGCATCATGAACAAAAAAGGCTCCTTCGATTTTGTTAGTTTCCAGATGAAGAAGCAATTTAAGTGTCTACATATATTCCACAGTGACTTCTGATGGATTTAATCTCGGTTGATGCGAGGGATAATCCAAAGATAGATACCTTACTAATTAATTACAAAAATATGCATAAAAAGAAACAAAACATACTTATGAATTATTGCAAAACTAGGTGTCCCTTTCACTGCAAGAATTCTCAGGTTCGCAGCTCTTTCTTATAATTCAAAAGAAAACCCTTTCGGCGGATGTACAATAATAGTATAGCTCTCTCTTGCAAACATTCACACACACACACACACACACACAAAATTAATTTGTGAATCTTCTACATTATAAAACAAGCATGTGGGTTTTCATCACTGAATAACTGAGGAGCATAGACATAGTCAAGTGGATTTTCACCTCTATAGAACTGAGGAGCATAGACATAGTTAATAACATAAGGCGCAATTCCCTCTGTATTCTTTACCTCCACTTTCTTCTCTGCCTTGAATTCCACCATTTCAGCCTTTTCTTCTTTCTTCTCTGCCTTGAATTCCACCATTTCAGCCTTTCCTTCTTTGGGTTTAGCTTCGACTTTTGGCTTTTCTTTCTTTTCCTCCATTTTCTCAGATTTTGGGAGTATAATCTCTGCATTTTTGTGCACCTTCTTTCGCATGTAAGCTACTAGTTTATCACCCTCCATTGTTCCGTCAACTGTTATAGTTTGTGCTTTCATGTCCGTCTTCACGCTGTAAATACCTTCATAATATTTTTACCAATAATTATATAATGTTTGAATTAAGTCCGAATTAACATCATTGTTGATTAAACAAAAAAAAAAGAGAGAGTAGAAATAACATCATTGTTGATTAAACAAAAAAAAAATAGTGAAACCTTACTTCTGTGCTTCAGTAACTTATCGCGCAGATCTTTCTCACATTTATCACAGTGCAAGTGAACCTTCATAGAATGGGTGCTTAATTTTGGCTTAAAAAATAGAACACAGATAATTAAAATCATTGTTTGCTCAGCATATATACATGGAAGTGAATTAAAGATGGAGCTGTAATAATTGCGTCTTAAGCATCAATTAATCTATATATGCTTACAGCTGGTTTGGCTTCAACCTTCACTTCCTTCTTCTCCGTTACAGATTCTGTGACCTTAACTAATGGTGAAACCAACTCAACCTTTTTCTTGCTCAATTTCTGTAGTAGTTTGTGTATTTTTATCACGTCAATCACCCCTTTAACCTTGATTTCAGACTTCTCAGCATCAGCCTCCACGCTGTGAACCCCTGCGTGCATTCATTGCATTTACATATAAATTTTGAGAGTTAAGCGAAGGCTAATCAATTCTCCTCCTTAATTAACTATGCATGCATGCACGCACCTTGGGTGGACAGAAGAGGCTTCTTGATATCCCGTGCACATTGTTGGCAGTGCAGATTAACTTTGTAGACAGCGGTGATCACTTCTTTCTCAGCTACTTTTTTCTCCGTCTCAACTTTGGCAGCTGCGGCCATGTTCTTGATCTTATTGCTAGCTGTTATCACATGCACTCGGTGCCGGCAATGATGGCTATTGAGCGAATTGATTATCGGTGTAAAATAAAACAGGAAGAGATTAATGAATTTAACTAGAAGCATGCACGTTGGTGAGATTTGCTGGGTAGTTCAACAGAAACCTTGACATTTGACAAGAAGGAAAACGTACGTCCAATTAGTGGGCGTTTATATTTGACCACGAGAGAGGGAGGAGAAGTGTGGTGGTTTAGAGGAAGAGTAAGCACCTAATTAGTTTTATTCTTAATTACTTGTAAAGCAAGAGACAAAGAGGCACGATGAAGACGCCATTGACGAGATACAGCCACTTGCTTGCTCTCCATTCTTTAAACCTAATCGCAACTGTACTTCATAATATTTTAGTCAGTCTCAACCTATTTTTGTGGTTAATTTTCTTCAATCTCTGGTAATTTCTTTCAAATGATGATCTCATATATAATCATTACTAGCGTGGAGTGCACATTGAAATACATTTCTTGTACTCTAACTAGTTTTCTCGATATAAGACTTATCTTACACAATTTAATTCTATTTCTTCACCTGCATAAATTAATTAAAGATTGTGAAATAGAATATATATATATATATATATATATATATATATATTTTTTTTTTTCTTGTACTCGTAGCTCAGATTTGATCGGGCGGGGATTAATGAAATTTTCAGGACGTACAGATATCATTGCATTATCACTACTACGCGGAGTGATCAAAATTACAAAAGACAATTATCGTACGTGAAATAAACTGATGCAGAAAATGGAAAAAATTAAAAGAAGGAAGGAGTTATTAATTACTGAATTAAAATCAACATAGAAAGATATAATCTAAACGACCATTTAATTTTGATCGGATTGGGTTATTATTGAACTGAAACCATGAGAGAAGAGACGAATCAATATTTGATCAGAGACGACTGAACAGGAGGAGTTCACAAGCGTTCATTGTGAGGAAACGAAGCAGCACGACCAGCACTGGTACAATTTGCAGCAGCAGTGGCATCAGCTGGAGCCCCTGTGAGATTGGTAGTGGCGGCGTTACTATTAATATTGCCGCCGCCGCAGTAATTATCAGTGTGAGAAGCATATCCAGCTCCATAGCTTCTGGCATCATCATTTTGAGTTCCGTGGTTGGAGACCTTGCCATCCATATTAATATTATTATTTTGAGGCACAATATAATCATTCTCATTGAATTCATGCTTTGCAATCTCCCTCTCGACCCTTTGCCCAGCCTTGGCCACATGCAGCTCCATTTCTGCTTCCGCCTCTCTCGCCAATCGGACCTCATGAGCAACATCCATCCGCGCTTTTGCCAATTCCTTCTCCGCCTGCATAAATTATGTCATTAACCATATACAGTAATTAGCAAACAAATTAACACTGATTGGACGTAGTACATGCTAATTAATCACTACCTTCTCCTCGGCCTTTGCTTCAGCCTTGGCCTTGCGCATGGTGGTCATATCATGTAGTTTATCCTTCACAGCCTGCATTTTCTCTCTACTAATCTGATGATCAACACACCTTAATTCCAAGTACTACTGCCTACTTTCTTCTTTTCTTAAATTTTAGCATTGCTGTCTCAACACAAATGTTGCAGCTATATACAGCCAAGAGTTGCCCTAATTAGATTGACAAGTGTCAGATTCGTAGCCCTGTATCGTGTACTACCGACTACCAATTTGTGGCTCAGCGAATGGGCATGGCCACGGATTATTCTGTGCTCAGTTAGTCATCCACACCGGCACCGGAGATGACGCTGCTTCCAAGTTATAAAGGTCCTCCAATCCAAGTCCGAGTCTCTCGTTGAATTTATCAACTGATCCAAATCCACAAATGAATTTATTTATGTGAATTTAGTCTGCAGAATTATTTTATTTGCACCAGCCAGCCAGAGTTCCTGTAATAACAATATTGGGGTTACCGAAATTCATAAAGGCAGCTAAATTAATAAAATAAAATTATATGAAAGTTAATAATATCTTGTTATATAATATTAGAGTTGTTTAAAAATTTATTATTTAAAAATTTAACTTTTTTATTTTAAATATTTTGTAGAAAGTTGGGTTAAATTATCTATTTTCCAATATTAATCCACATAAATCACAAGTAAGAAATTTTTTAAATCTCTATTGGAGTGATTCATATATCTAGAGCACTAGCTCTTTATTTCATGATTTATATAGTTTTTTTTGTCTAATAAATAACTTCTTAAAAATAAGAAGCATAACTTTATATTTATAGAGAATATCAAAAACCCTATAAATAATAAAATCTTTATTTGCCCAACACGATTAAAAGATTGATATCTTCTCCCAAGTGCAGGAGTGTCGAAGTAATAAATAACCAGGTAAGACCGGGGTCGAACCACAGGGAGGTTAATTGTACAAATTATAAATAACAATAATACAATAACAATAACAATAACAACAGCACCACCATTAATAGTAATAACA